ATATATATATATATATATGGTTGCCTTGGTCGACAGGCAATGGCTTCACGATTTTCTAGACTTAATGATTAGGTAAGACAATAATGGAATGATTAATCGATAATGATAATTATCCGCAGCTCGAGTCCTCATGCAGTTCAACTGTGCTGATGATATAATATGACCCACACTGAACACATGACTGTAATTGTGTAAATGATGTTTATTTCTGGGAATGGCGTTAATCAGAATAAAGGCTCAATATGAACATTTCCTCTGTTGAATAAACCTGTTAATGTAACTCCTGTGACAGTACAGGTGTTCAATAACAACACGCTGCACACAGAGGGCAGGGAGTCACAATTAATGACACAGTTCAAATATTCACCTTCAATCATTCACAAACATTAAAATAAAAACTAACACACCTCGAGAAAGCGGGTCCTGCCCTGGAGGAGAGGAGAAACCCGTGTGAGGCTCTCTGAAGGAGGAATCTGGCACACACAGCACTCACCATGTTGACGGACTACACTAACCGGCGACGGACAGAGGGGGACACAGTTCCCTGTAACACCAGCCGCTAGCTTCCGGTGTTGTGTAACGGAAAATCGAACAAATTTTACTTCAAGTTTTAACACGTTTAATGTGAATTCATCGTGTTTTTGTTTTATTTTGTATTCGACATAAACTTCATAACATAAAACTAAAGATTACATAAGCAACTGATTCCCCAGCTAACACAGCTAATGAAGCTAATGTACTGAATGTGTCACTATCTTCAACAAACTGACAATAACGGTCAATACCGGACAATAACGGTCAATACCGGTCAATACCGCTCAATACCGGACAATAACAATGATTTAGGATAAACGGTTAGTATTTAGTATTTCCTTATCAAACCCCAAAAAGTACATCTTAAGATAATTGTAAAAAAAATATATACATTTTAATTTTTTTAAACTTTTTTTTTAATCAATATCTTATTAAACAATTATATTTCTCATTTAATATTAATCCATCTTCCCAGGGGAAGGTCTACAGGAGGCATCTACCACAGTTATTTTCAAGATTTGGAAATAAAACTATTGATTTCTAATCACACCTTTATTTCTATTCAGTGCTTTACTAATGTGCCACAATAATTTTATGTTTTTGAGTTAAAATATCTTCACTTGGGGCTTTTCCAAACAAACATAGGTGGGATTTTTGCTATTAAATTATTTCTAGCACGCCTTAAAGTCTCTGTGCCACCCCGTACATATATTTCTTTAATTTGTCCCTCGATATTTCAGTCACCATTATATATAGATATATATATATCTATATATATGTTATATATATATGTTGTTGTGTTTGCACCATTTACAGATGCTGTATTATGATTAACTTACATTACAACTGAATGAGCTTCCATAAACCTAAATGCATTATATAATCAATAATCATTCATAAACTGTTCATCATGGTGAGCAATGCACAGTTGACCAGTGTAATACTGAGTAGTTGTAAATATGAATGAGATATTTATTATATATTAAATATAACAGATGTATAAGAGATTGGTAATAAACAGTTTATATATCAGTTATAAAGAAAATCCACAGCACCCATTCACAATATTTAATACACAAATGAAAGCTGTCTTTACTGTGTTTTCCCGAATGAATGATCATATCTTATATTATATATATTTATATATTATTATATTATAATAACGATCAGCTCTGGCTTCGATTAAAATGTCTGGGGGCGTGTTCATGGAGCCGCAGCGCCCCCTGCGGCGTTTACTGGCAACTGTCACGGGTCAGATGATCCGAGCTACATAGTAAATAGACAGCAGCAAAGATCCTCCGTGGTCATGTGTGCACAGCCTCTGTAGATCACCTCCAGACAGAGCACACACTTCCACTCGCAGACGCCTCGATCCCTCCGGTTCTCTCGCTGTTTCGGCTCATTTCGTGCAGATAAGTATGTACCGGTCTCTGTACGCCTTCCGATCCGCCGAGCCCAACTCGCTGCACTTCGCGGCCGGAGAGAGCTTCTTAATCCTGGAGAGGAGCAACAAACACTGGTGGCTGGGGTCCCGCTGCAGCTCGGGGGAAACCGGCTACATCCCGGCCTCATACATCGAGAAAATACAGGTAAACACTGAGTGTCTGAGCCTCGGTGGGGTCTCTCCTCCTCACAGTCTACAGTGAACGGGTCGCATCCCGAGCTGAAGTGAAACGCAGTGAATGCGCAGCAACGTCCAGGGTTGAATTGATGGGATCGAGAGAGAGAGAGAAAGAGAGAAAGAGAGAGAGAGCTCATGATGTTACTGCAGAGAGGGCCTTGTTGGAGCTGACTGCTGCTGACTGTCAGGAAACATGTATCCATGCTTACAGGAGAACTCATACAGTATTATTATTGGGGAGGATGCAGAGGACATGGCCTTCTGCACTGCAGCTGCTCACTGCGACACAGAGGAGGGACAGGACAGGGAAGGAGTCAGGGGAAGGAGTCAGGGGAAGGAGTCAGGGGAAGGATGGGGTATGACAGGAGAGGATGAGACACTTCCAAAAGGCCACACCAGGACAGAAAAAGACACAGTTTCCTCCTCTGCTCCTGTGAATCTGTTTTATTATCAGGGATCATTCCTCAGTTATCCTCTGTCATTGTTTAATAAGTAGCCACTTCCCTTTCACGTAGCTTTTTTGGTATTCTCCCAGTCACACCCACTACAGTGAGGAGACACAGTGAACCAGTCAGAGCACGTAGTTTGTGAAATAACAGGCTCAGAGGTAGGAATGTGTGTTGTCTCCTGTTGTTAATGACATTGGCTGTGGAGGTTTAATGAGCCCCAATCTGAGGCCTCGCTGAAGCCTCGCATGTGTCACCGGTTAAAAAGGCTGGTTTTTTTTTTTTTTCTGTTTGTTAGATAACTGCCCTAGTTTGTTTCTGCCTGGAGTCGCACTCGTCCCCCCGGGCCACAGTTCTGTTCTTGTTTTGTTTTAAAGTTTAATAATTATGTTAATGAATATTTAATTTCTCCTCCACTCTCTCTGTTTCTCTCTCTTTAAGGCTCCAGAGCAGGACGAGGTGCTGCAGTCTATCGACAGAGCGATCGAAGGAATCCACAATGTGGCCTTAAAAAATGGAGGCAAATACAATCTGGAGCAGAGAGATGTTCTACAGTGAGTCGACACATTGTGAACTGAAGATACTACGTATTGATCCCCACTCCTGTGTCTTCTGTGTGTGAACTCCTTCTTCCCGTCTGTTGTAGGAAGTTGATCCATCACAGGAAGGAGACGCTCGCGCGACGAAGTTCCTCGTCCACCGGTCACAAACAAGGCCTCCCGTCCTCCAACAGTGAAATATCTCTCAGCCAGACTCCTCCTCCACCCAACGGCCTTAACCGAGACCTCGGACGACAGGGGAGCATGCCATTATCAGGAAGCATGGACAATATGCAGGGAGAACAGGGCTTTTACCAGGTAGCACACGCATACAGTGTAAAATACAGGATTCAGATATTTAGAGAGTTTGTATACGTTATTATTTGATATTTATGAGTCGGCCATTTGTAGGATTACTAAAAGAGCATCTTTAAAACCGTCTGCTTTCTTTTCTTTTTCTTGATTTTATAACTTTTACCTTATGGGTTGTAGACTCCATTGTCATCTCTGTTTTATCTCCCCCTCTTCCCATATTCATTTTCCCATAAAGACCCTCTAACTACTGTATTATAAAAGTGTTATAAACAAGGTTTCCTACTAAGTTACCCTCTAACGATCTATGAGCAAAAGGTTAAAAACATCTATTAGGATTAAAACATTGCCCATTATTGATTATTGAAATGTCAGGAGTTGTTGCAGAACTTATCGTGTGAGATACTAAGAAACACTTAATAATGATGCGAACACTCTCTGAGAGCAGTGTGCTCATGTGTATATATAGATCCAGTTTCACTTCCTGCGTCCCTCCTGCAGGTGCCTCCTCAACCTCGACGTGCAGCGCCGATCACCCCGCCTCCCCCCGAGAAACAGCGAAACAGCCGGCGTCCAGGTTAGAGCTCAGAGAGCAGCAGCGTCTTCACAACATTACTGACACGTTTATCACTGTCGCGTGTTACAGCCGAGTGTTTCTGCCGCTGCTTTTAGCTGGATGCTACCTGCTGCAGCTCTATACTTCACAAACACTCTATTCTTAGTCGGGTCATTCCTGTTCACTCTCCTCTCTGTAACTGGAGCTCTCTCTCTTTCCCTCTCTCAGCAGAGCCGGAGGTCCCCTCCAGAGTGTCCTCTCTCCCTCCGTCCCCTGCTCCCTCCCTCTCAATCAGCACCACCTCTTTGGAGTCTGGCTCCTCCCACTCCCTGGTCTCCTCTGACGTGAGTCTGCCAAGTGTTTCCAGCACCCCCCCTCCTCCTGTGCCATCCCGTGTGAAGCCCCCCGCACCGCCTCCAGACGTGCTTCCCTCAGACTCCCCTCCTCATCCAGCTCCTGCAAAGAAGAGCCCGGCTCCACAGCCTCCCCAGCCCACCCCTCCTTCACAGCCCACTGTGGAGGCCCAGCCGGAGAGTGAATGGCCCGTCGCCCCCCCATCTGTTGCTGAAAGCACTCCTGGCAGCCCCTCTACCTCTGAGCCGGTTCCCATGACTATTGGGGCCGAACTGATCGAGCTGGTACGGAAGAACACGGGCCTGAGTTACGAGCTGTCGCGGGTCGCCGTCGGCGTGGTGGTGGGCCACCTGCAGACGGCCTTACCTCAGGCCTCCTCCGCTTTGGAGCAAGTGCTCCTCTCGCTGGTGGAGAGCAAGGTCAGATTTGTTTTCGTTACATCATGTGGATTCAGCATCCTGGAGCCTCGCCAGCTTAAAGGAGAATACCAGTGTCGTTTAGAGTTACGGCTCAGTCTGCATTTAGCTGACATTCCTCAGAGAGTCGCAGGGGACAGTACGCACAGTATCACACACTCGTTTCCTGTTTTTAGATGCAAACGTTGCGGTGTCAAACCAAGCATGAAATTACCTGCTGATTATTTTCTGGCAGACATTTGTGTTTCTTTTTCTGGGTGTTAGGTGGTTAATAGTTTCTCATGTAGTTTCTTTTGGCTGCATCCTGTATTTACACGGTGACACGCGTGCACACTCAGACCCTGCTTATCTAATTAAAATGCCTGAAACACTCTTTGGTCTGTTAGAGGCTTCCTCAGTGTGCTTTTAGATATGAAACACTGATAATAGAACATTATGGTTTAAGCTCAGATGATGTTTATGTTGTTTTTAATACTTTTGATATCTTTTACTGTGCTTCCTGTGTGCAGACACTTTAATGTCAAGCAGAGAAACAACACTGGTATAATCCTTTAAAGCTGCTCTAATCAATATTTTTATATTACTGATATTGATATTACATTATCAGTGGTTGAAATGACTTCATATTGTGAAAGGGGTAATTTATAGCGACACATGCACAGAAAATTTGAGTTTGTAATCATCCCTCAGCTCATTGTAAAGCTAAACACACATTTCAGTGTCTAAATTACACTCAAATGATCTTCATTCCTTAAAAGAGAACAACAGTATGAAATAACAATAAAATATATTTTCACGATAAGTTAAGCAGTAACTTTCATTAAAAATGTTCCTCTGTACTGGTATTTAAAGTTGAAGCAGGAAATAGGTGTGCCACAATCTTTTATGTCTGTAGGATTTTAGTGCAGCGCTGCCGCAGGGTCAGGTGTGTCATGACGAACAGAGGCTGGAGGTGATCTTCGGCGACCTCGCCCGCCACCGGGACGACTCTCAGCAGCGAAGCTGGGCGCTTCACGAGGACCACGCTCTTATCGCCTGCTACCTGGAGGAGCTGCTGAAGATACTGGTATGATGCAGGGAGCCGTTGACCTCTCTCTTCTGTGACAGTTCATGTTTACAACAGTCTGTTTTCTCTCTGTCAGCTGTTAGGATGTATTTCACAGATGCTTATGTCTGTCTGTCATAAATAAGTTAAGATTTAATTATTTAGCATTTTTCAAAACAAAAGTTGCAAAGTGCTTCACAGTATAAGGATTAAATATCAAACAATATACAGCTTATAAACACACAAGAACTCTTGTGATCCAACATGAGTCATCATGTATTAATATGCAAAGTGATGTAACCTGTTCAAATGCACTGAAGAAAGAGGACTTACAAAAACAGGAATCTGGTAAAGTCGTGCCTATCATCATCATCATTATTAATATTATTACATTAAAAGTTTTCTGTTGGGATGAGTCTGTGATGAGCCCGCAGGACCCGTCCAGATGTCGTGCTGTAAATACCAGACATGTTTGATAGGATCAGACCAGCTCAGACGACTTTACAAATCCAACAGTGTGGTTAAAGACTGGATCTGTAAACTCTTCAGGCTGCCAAAGATTCTTTGTTGGCAGTTTGTCCCGACCAGAACTCAGATCAGGGTTTGGCTGAGATCTTTTAATGGGCTCCATAATCCTCCGCTGTGTGCGGTGACCACGACTGTCAAACAGATTATGAAGTTATTATGTTTTTATATATTTGCTGTAACCACTAAAAGCATGTTTTGTTCCCCTGTTCAGACTGATGCCGACCCAGAGGTGTGTAAGAGGATGTGTAAGGCCAACCACTATGAGAATGTGCTCTCTCTGGTTTCATATTATCAGATGGTAAGACATCGCATTTTATTTTAAAAACACTTTGAACTAAAACTGAATCTGTGTTCAAGAAAACCGTCATCAGCACCATCTTACTTCAGTCATTGTTGTTTTGCAGATTTAAGTTAGGGTCTGAAGGCTCAACTAGAGTCTGTAACTGCTTCCTCAACTATTACACCTGTTTCCTCCTGCTTGTTGTTCATGGCATGTGATTCTCTGAGCCGATACTACGCATTTTAACGTTTGTTGTTCCATTTAATGTACCGTTGATGTTGTTTTTTGTAACTTTGCTTTGCTGCTGCTGTCTTGGCCAGGGCTCCCTTGAAAATGAGATTTTATTATCTCAACAGGACTTACCAGGACTAAAAGTTTAATAACAATATTGATACATAATGTAGGTGTCATACAACATTATTATTTATATTTCTGTTGCTGAATGCATAAAGCATCTCACAGAACCAGTTTTTAGTCTCAGTGGAAGTTGAACCTGCATTATTGCAGAATGAGTGAGCACGTCGGTGTTGTTCAGCGTTTGGTTTGTCGATGTTGGCTCAGTTGTTGCCTCTGTGTGACCTCGCAGGAGCATCGTGTGTCTTTGCGGCTGCTGCTGCTCAAAGTGTTCGGGGCGATGTGCAGCCTGGATGCTGCTCTCATCTCCACCTTCCTCAACTCCATCCTCCCCATGGAGCTGGCCAGGGACCTACAGACTGACACACAAGGTGAAAACACTTTCATGTCACTGTCTCTTATAGTCGTACTCCCCAAGCTTAATATTATATTATATATTATATATTATATTATCCACAATTACTCTGATTTACTATTTCTCATGTATTTTTCTTTCTTCAGAACACCAGAAGATGTGTTACACAGCTTTGGTACTTACTATGATCTTCTCAATGGGCGAACAGGTGCCATATCATCACTATGGTATGATTTATATAAAGCTGCTATAACATACATTTATATTGTATCAGAGCATCACTGAATAACAATACTCATTCTTCCAAAACAACTTGCATTTTTCACTTTATCTGACAGATTATGAAACCTTTCCCAACCTGTGCATTAAATAGTGTATTAAAGGGGTTAATGTGTTCTTTAACTAATACATAATCCTGACCCTCCCTGCTTTCAGAACACTTGAATGCTGAATTTGTGGAGTTTCTGCTGGGTGTGGTGGAGGACGGGCTTCCCTCTGATCCCACGGAGCAGCTGCCCGACATCTTCCTGAACCTCGTGCTGGCCTTCAACCTGCATCACACAGGTGAGAACAGCCATTCACAGCAGGAAAACACTCAGCAAAAGTACAAATAATAACATTAATGATGGCTGTATTCCTTTCATGTTTACCGATTTCAGACACGACTGGAAATGAAGATTCATTTATGTTTCTAGTAACACTTGCAGTTAAAATGTCTGCCTAAAAAGGTCCAAAGGAGCAGTAATGCACAACAGACTTGTAAGATCTTTTACTGTTTTACCATAAATACTTTGTTGTGTCTTATCTATGTCACCCAGCACCCAGCAGCAATGTGATCATGCAGGAGCTGAAGAAGAAAAATGTCAAGATCCTGTCAGAGAAGGTGCTGCTACTTCTGAACCGAGGCGGTAAAATACCTCTTTTGTTTGTCATATTTCTCATTTTGCATCTATGCTTTCTTCCTACGGACGTCATTACTCACTCACGTTTTGCCCCCCTCGTCTCCAGACGACCCTGTGTGCATGTTCAAACACACCCCGCCTGCACCGCACTCAGTGCTCAAGTTTTTGCAGGATGTTTTCGCCAGCCAAGAGACCGCAGACATCTTCTACCGCACTGACATGATGGTGACGATTGACATCGCCGTACGACAAATATCTGACCTTTCACCTGGAGACAAGGTGAGACCTGGACACACACACAGGAATAGTTTTGGGAAATTCTCTTTTTTGCTTTCTTACTGAGAGTTTGACGAGAAGATTGATACCTCTGTCATGTCTGTAAGGTAAATATGAAGCTAGAGCCAGCAGCTGGTTAGCTTAGCTTAGCATGAAAAAGAGGAAACGGTGGGAAACAACTAGTCTGACTCCAAAGATAACAAAATATGTCTACCAGCTCCTCTAAAGCACGCCAAATAACATGTTATATCTGGTTTGTTCAATCCATACCAAAAGACAAATAGTAAAATCCAGAAGTTGTGGTTTTACGGGGGGTTAATTGCAGGACTACTTCTGGGCCGGGAGCAGTGACTACCACATGACTCCAGCCTCATATTTAACAGATAGATATGAGAGAGGTACTAATCTTCTAATTCTCAACAAGAAAGCAAACGTGTATTCCCCAAAATGTGAAGCTATTCCTTTTATGATACCTGCTGTACCAGCTGCTGTTGTCTGATTATTTCCTCTCTCGCCCCCCCTGTGAAGCTGAGGATGGAGTACCTCTCCCTCATGCACTCCATAATACGCTCGACGGACTACCTCGAGCACCAGCACCGCTTGTCCGACCTGCAGGGGACGCTGCAGAGGATTCTCAGGGAGGAGGAAGATCCGGGAGAGGATGAAGGGAGCGCCACAGCGAAACAGATGGATAAGCTAATTGTACAGCAGATCTACAAAGAGTTCCCACAGATCTGTGAGAACCAGGACTAACCATATCAGTATTGTGCTCACACACTGTAGTCTGCTCCCGTCTACTGCAGGGAGGTACAATAAAGCCTGAAAGAAAAACTAACATGTTCAGTGCCAGCCTGTAATGAGAGAAGCTAAATCGATTTTGCCAATGTTTTCTTGGACTCGTAGTCCAGGGCTGCAGCGTGCACATGATGTTGATTTCAGAAAGAGAAAGAGCTGTTTTTCACAGCTTTTTCTTCTCAAATGAACTTCAGTTGAAAAAGGAGTGGGAGGTTTTTTTTTTCTTTGGTGTTTTTTCAAGAAGGAGAAAAATATGACATACAAAAAACCTGTGAGGTTTAGTCATAGATGGAGATTAAGAATAGCCAAACCTTGGAGCTGTTTCACAGTGAATTCCTAGCAATAATTACCTTAAAAAACTCATACATTAACTAATTGTATGTACTCTTAGTATTTTCAATGTAAAGTAACCAACTTAGTCTGACCAAAATAACTTTAACCAAATTGATTTTTAGAACAAATTCAAAGACTGTTAATGAAACGGGCAGATTTGAAGTGACGTTACTGACAACAGTGCCAACAGTGTGAGAATACTTTTATGTGCTTCCCTGTTAGTGGGACCAAACTACTGTGTGTTACTGAGAGCATCATTTTCAATATCGAGTATAATACTCTTTAAAAAACTGACTTCCTGTCTCTCTCTCATTCATTATAATTAGAATTAAAGTCAAGTTGAACAGGTTTACTCTTCTAGTGAAAAAGCAAGCACACTCTGACTCGTGTTATCATTACTAAGCTTTTAGCTGGGTAACCTTTGCTGCTACATATTGAGTCTCTCCTGTGGCTCCGTCTGCAGTTTTCTCAGCCTGGTACTTTTGTCTCTTACTGCGTTTCACTTCAACATGATCACTATGTACTTACATATGCAAAGCTCCTTAAGCATTAGAAGTCACTGACTGTTTAATGTCTGTTGGACTGAAGGGTTTTCGTCCGTATGCTGCAAACTAACTGTGCTGCAATAAGGCTTTATAGCAACTTGTAATATGGCTGTAATATACTGAGTCTTGGCTGATGTGAGCTACGGCTTCATGGAGGGGGAAATGTGTTCTGTACTTATTCATACATTATTCAGTGTTGTTGATTTCCAGTTATTATCTGATGCTCTTACTGAAAATCAAGACAACTGGAAATACAGGGCATTTCTTTTATCACCTTGTGGTTCTAATATGTTGACAGCAACATGTACCTTTCCTTATTTTTTCCCCACGGTGCAGTGATTGATGTTGTTCTCCCATCGTACACTTATCTGACTTATCTGTTTTGGTCCCTGGCATGGCTTCCCCATCTGGAAACATGTTCCTGAGAAGGTAGACACAATCCAGAAGTGATATCAGTTTTTAGTTAATGTCCCGAGTGTTCATTGATTATTTGTGTGTCTGTTTACAGCGTGTGTGAGGGAGATGAATGTCTCTTCTTTCCATGATTAACATTGTCTGCAGAAGTGCTACGACTGTGTTATAATAAAACTAATAAAGCTATATTTTAACAGTGAACGTGGTCGGATTGGTTGTTGAGCGGGTGACTGTGTGACATTTTGGTTGAAAGTTTACAACAAAATCAAACATTAATTCAGAGTTTTGTGAACATCTTGTAGGTCAGACTCAGGACACAGCAAACAGGAGTAAGATAAAAGTGTGAGTGTTGGCAGCAAACAGAAGCAGTTGAGTCTAAAGTTTAAAATGAAAGAAAGATGATTAATGTTACTCCTGTAATGGTCCTGTGTTGAACTCATTCTCAGTTTCTCCTCAGAAATCCTACTGTTGGCTTGTTTCCCCTTTCTTAGGAGGATGTTTGTGTTGCTTTCTTGTAAACCTTTTGTCTTCTTCCTTTATTTATTTATAAATATATATATAAATGTTTGTATTAATGAAATGCTGAATATATACTTGTATGGTAAATATTGAAAACTATTCCTCACCGGTTTTTTTTTTAAAGTGAGCGCTGACCAGTGTTGGGCAGTAACTCATTACTAGTAATAATATTACTTTTCCCAGTAACTAGTAGTGTAACTAATTACTAATACATTTCAGTAATAATATTACAATTACTCCTCCAAAAAATAATTAGTTACAA